AAAATTTCGTACTGAATTTTTGTTCGTTTCATATCGTTCGTTTTTGTGCAATGTGATAGACAATTGTGTGCAATCCAAATAACCATAATGTGCAATCGAATACATAAAAAATATAGATAAAAAATAATATTAATTATAATAAATAAATAATCAGTAATATTTTTCCGTATAGTTTATAAAAAAAACTAATTTTGACATTAACCAACTAATATTGTTCGATCAATTATTATAAATACGGTAATTTTGATAAGTGCAACGTATTGCGTTATAAAGTGCAACATATTGTTGTATAAAGTGCAATTTATTGATATATAACGTGCAATATTGTTATTCTAGTATGTTATCACGAATGTGTTTTTTTTTATGTATAATGTGATGAATAATAAATTAATATGTCGATTCGTTTTTTAAAATGATTATGAAATGATAAAGTGCAGTGTGATATCTTATAAAGTGCAAATTGTTATTTTATAAAGTGCGACGTGTTGAAATTTTGGAAAAAAATTAAATTGAATAGAAGTACTTGATTTATTCAAGGGGTTAGTCGAATTAACAGAAAATATATGCATTAAATTATACTTTATGCTATAAGAAAATATTGTTTAAAACGTTAATAACTTTATTTATTATTTTTATATAATTTATAGTTGAAAAAATTTAATTCTGTCAGTTTCGATCTCTGATAGTCACGATAAAGTGCAGTGTGATGTTATGTAAAGTGCAACTGAATATCTTATAAAGTGCAACGTGTTGATGTATAAAGTGAACTGATGTAATTTTGGTACGCTAGCGTGCTTGATTTTTGTGTGGATAAATGATGTGATTAATGTTAAAGTATTTTGTATATCTGTTTTTTATATGTACGTTGCGGTATTTTCGCAGAAGCTGTTGACGTTATTCGTGGAGTGCGTTGACAAAGTGCAACGCTTTATGTTGTAAAGTGCAATATGTTGTTTTATAAAGTGCAATTTAATGTTATATAAAGTGATGATATATAAAGTGCAATACTATATATTATTTTTTTTTTTATTCAATTTTTTATCTATTATTTATTTTATTATTACATTATTTTAAATTATATTATTTTTATTTAATATTTTATTTATTATTCAATATGTATGTATAAAAAATATAATAAATAACATTTTTGAATAACTTCCATTAATTACAGATTTGGTATGTGTACTAAATTGAAATATATTTAAAATTTATAAAATTGCATTAAGGTCCTTGAACAATTTCTAATTTTCAAAAAAAAGGCCCAATTCCATTCTAAGTTTGCAGGTGATCGGGGAAGGGATCCATCTTTTCCAGACGCGGTTCTCCGGCCGATTAGACGCAATCAGAGATAATCTAGCCGACCGTCTGCTCCAATTTCACCGGGAGCTTCTTGTTCGTGTTGGTCGTGAATGGAAGTCGCCGGAGTTCGGCGGTGACGGCAAAGAGTTGTCTGTTGTGTCGTGGTTGGCCGCGAATGGAATGTCGTCAGAGTCGAATCAAGACGATTGACGAAGGCGCGGAGACGATGGAGGAATTAACGGGATTTTGTAATTGAGGTGCGGTGGCGACGATGGCCCGACGACGACTGAGGCGTGACAGAGGTGGAGTAGGCGCCACGACAGCGGCGGCGGAGACGACGAAATCTGTTGCTCATAGCCGGAGACGACGAGCACAGGTCAACTGTTGCGATGTTCTGCGACGAGGCAGTGACCGGCGCGATTTGCAGAGGCGTGGCGCGGCGGCGGTGGTGCGACGGCGGTGGCGCGTCGACGGCGGAGGCGTGACATAAGTTGAGTCGTGATGGCGGCGGCGACTATGATGACTGAATGTTCGCCGGCGATTGTGTGTTCCGCCGGCGACTGTGTGTGTGTTGTGTGTAATGCGTGTGTGTGAGAGAGGGAGATAGTGTGTGACTGTGTGAGAGAGATAGAGATGATGAGGTGTATTTATTAGTTGGCAGGTTTTTAAAAAGTGTATTAATTTGTATTAATGAATTAATGGGTGGGACCCACTCCTTCGAATGTAGTGTGGAAAAATACCATAATACCCTTAATGAAAGTATAATTTTGACTTTTTTTAAGCCATTAGATCATCCAACCTAATGGTTAGAATTCATTCTCATTTCTTTCATGGGGAACCATTTCTTTCATATTGTGGTGACATATGAAAAATGTTCACGTGTTTTAAGAATTTCAGACATGGTATTTTGGTTACTTACTTTGGTTGGTTCAATATTTCTTTTTGCTCATATTTCTTGCTTCTATTTGATGACATATCAGTTTATTGGTTTTTTTTCGTAGCCAGCCACGATATCTGAACTTATACTTCGACTAATCCGTTGGTCGACCCGAATCGCACACCTGGCAGTGATGGGTGAGTCTCTCAACAAGGGTTTTCTGCATCCACAAGGACTCGAACCCGAAACCTTGCTTAAGGGACATCAAACTGCTTACCACTTGAGCCAACTCTTGTCGATAATTTGTTGGTTCTTTTACGCAACATAGCCTCGACCTAACTTTTTCTATGGTTGCAAAGTCTTTTATATTCCCCCAAGTGGAATGATTTTCTTCTTTCCTAAAGTAGTTACGAAATTAGTTAATTAACATGGGGCTCCTTTGTATTTCGTGGCAACTGATCACAGCTTACACTACCTGGGTAAGTTCAGTCTTTTTAAGTGGTAAAACAAAACTCAAAAATTTTGAACGCATGATCATAATTATTACCGTACGGTAACATAATTTGTACCGCAGTTAAATTGAGAGTGGCCCTTTTTGGTCAAGTCAGATTAAAAATAAATAAATAAATAAATCATTTGGGACAAAAGATATAATAATAATAATAATAATAATGAGAAATGCTACAAATATGTTACGAACTATTCCGTCAGGATTGGTAAATTGTAACCATTAAATCATCATGTAATCGTTGAAATAATTGATTTAATGGTTACAAATCCCGACGGAATGTTTTAGTAATAATAATAAATAACAAAAATAATAAATATATTCAATATTATTTTGTCGTCATCATCTTGGAGCCTCTGTTTTTGGGTCAGAGGATTTTCTCAGATCTGATTTCTAAGCTCTGCAGGAAACAAGGAACAAACCGTATTACGGCGTCGTTTCACGTGCTTCACCCCCCCACCAATGACGTAGATTGCTCAAACACAAACACCAACCAATCTCTCGTTTTTTTTTTTTTTACTCTCCTCTCTGGCCGTCTCTCTCTCTCTCTCCTCGCTGAGCTGCGGAGAAGGGCTGAAGAGGCCGCCATTTTTCCATGGATTCGGATGAATTCCGGGCGATCTTGTCGGGATCGAGGGTCGGGATTTGGGAGATGATCGAGGCGGCGATTCGAGTCGCCAGCTCGGACCACGGCGACGAGCTGCGCCGCCGGAGGGATAAAATCGTCGAGTCGCTCTACGCCCCCGCCGCCCGGACCTGCCGGAACTGCGGAGGCGACGACGACGAGGCTCGGGACCACCGCTTTCATCATACCAATGATTATACGAATAGAGATGGTGTGGAAGATAAAGTTAACAGCCCGGACTGTAACAATAAGAGATTCGATGTGGTTGATGATGGTGATGGTGATGACGACGATAAAACTGATCGGAATTTGGATCGGAATTTTGGTAAAAGCCCGTTGACTCCGGAGTCGAACCATCGGAGTTTCAGTGGCGGAGAAGAAGGGGAGGATGTCGATCCATACGGTGGGTTGTTTGATGATGAGCAGACAAGAATCCTCACCATCAAAGAGCAGCTCGAAGATCCAAACCAGGTATCTTTTTTTTTTTTTTTTTGCTTTGCTTTGCTTTTTTTGTACGCTTTAGTTATGGACTTTTGGGTAGCTATCAATGGGTTTGTTCTGTTTGTTTGGATTTTGATGTGTAGAGTGAAGATGATGTAGTGGAATTACTGCATAACTTGTCAGATATGGATATCACTTTCCAAGCTCTCAAGGTGAAGAGTTAAATATTACTCTGTTGCAGGAAAACAAAAATAGCCAATTTTATGAAGCTTAATGATTAATATATTCTTTTATGTCATCCTTCTTTTCCTTGTTCTTTTTCAGAATGAAAATTTGAGTTTGTCGTGCAGGAAACCGATATAGGAAGGCATGTGAATAGATTGAGGAAGCATCCATCGAACGAAGTTCGTATATTGGTGAAGCAGCTTGTCAGGTGTTCTTGTGAAAATGGTTAAAAGCTTAGCCTTTTTAACTTTAGTTTAATCTATGCAATTTGACTCAATGTGTTTCGATTTCGGAATTGGCATTTAATTCGAGTGGCAGAAAATGGAAAGAAACAGTGGACGACTGGGTTAAAGTGAATCAACCACAAAGAGCCTCTGACCTTAATGGTAATGTATTTAGTTTGGTTTTCCAAGATTGAAATGATCACTTTTTAGTACTGTTTCTATCTATAGAATAGCTGAAAGAAGCATTCTTTGAATGAGAATGAATAATTTCAAAAGTAAACAAGAGGTTCATTGCTTTATTATTGGTGATGATGGTGGTCGCAGCTGATGTGGACTCACCTCAGCAGAACATATCCAAAAACCAACAAAATGGCCATCACCAGGTGAATTGAGAGTTGTTCCAGTTCTGTCAAGTTTTTTTGAGGAATGTAAAAAGAAAGGGAAAAAAAAAACGGAACGGCAGTGAAAGTAAAGAAGACAATATTGAGATGATATTGTGAAATGTTTGTCAGCCTTCTGAAGTTTCATTTTTCTGCAGGTTCCTGATTTTGGATATTCTCCCAACCCAAGGAGTGAGTATAAAAAATCTAGTTCTCTGTCATTAACCCATTATGATTTTTAACTTGGTCAATTTTCTGTTTTACTTTCATTAGTCGGGAGCTCTAGTGCAGAAAGGAATTATGGTGAGCATGAGCGGAAGCCTAAGCCACCTCAATCTGCACCTAGAAGAGAACCTCCATCAAGACCACCACAATCAGCTCCGAAATCTTCTTCGACTCTTCCTCCCAATGTACTGACTGCATGAGTTTCAGCTTATTATTAAATTCTATGAACATGTTCGGTGCTTCTTCTTCGACCAAGCTTCACAATTTCTGCAGAATTTCTACGGTTTAAAATTATTTCTTATCCACTTGAGTTATGTTTTTTTTTTTTCCACATAATTATGGAAGACAATGGAAATCCTTAATCCTGTCAAAATCTTGTCAATGGAAGACACTTGAGGGAGCATAAATAGATTGCCTTGATATTTTGACCTATTGTTCTTTTTGTTGTGATTAAAGTTTTAGTTTCATGTAAAACGAAAGATTTTGATTAGTGCACTGGGATTTTTACAGAGAGCACAACAGAGAGAACCTGCCTTGGATGATGAAAGGCTAAATTCAGCAAGGAGGCGGCTTCAGGAGAACTACCAAGAAGCTCAAAATGGTCTGATTTCTTTATATACATCTTTTTGCAGTTTCTGCATAAATTGAATGTGTGATTGGGAGGTTTCAAATTTCGACCCTTTATTATCTTTACTTTTAAGCTGATAGGCTTTTTTTTCTTGTGTTTTCTGGTGTTTGTTTGTTTTTTTT